GACCAAGGATGAAAGAGAAGCTTGGACTATGCACTTGATGAACGACCACCAGCCTTATCGAGCGGATTGCTCAGTCTGTTTGAATGCTCAGGCTACCGGCTATCAGCACAGGCGTCGCAAGCAGCCACAACTGTACGCTCTCGCGCTTGACTTAGCAGGGCCATACAAGGTTGCTGGACGTGACATGGACTTCGATGACTACAAGTACATAATGGTTGCTGCGTATAAGTGCCCAAAAGAGTACATGAGCAGCAAGTCCTTGGAGGAGATCCAGAAGGAGTTTTCCATGGATGAGTATGACCCGTCGGACTTAGAAGAGGACGACATGTTGGTGGAAGAAGAAAAAGGGGAAGAATGTGAGGACTCTGAAAAAGAGCCAGCAGGACCTCCTACTCTGGATGAGGCGGTGGAAGAGCTTAAGGAACCCCCGGAGTGTGTCACGATGTACCTTACAAGGCCGTTGAGGAGGAGGACCAAGGGAGAAGTTCTTCGGGCTTCCAAGGAAATCTTGCTGCAGCTTAAGCAGACAGGCCTACATGTGGCAACGATACATACGGACCGGGCGAGAGAGTTTTCTTCGTTGGTTTACAAAGAGTGGCTGGCGGACCAAGGTTTGCGACACTCAAGAACCGCTGGAGGTGATCCGGCGGGCAACAGCACAGCGGAGCTGGGAGTGAAATGGGCTAAATCAAGGGTGCGGGCTTTACTCAAGGCGGCGAAGGCGGAGGCAAGGGATTGGCCTATGGCAGTGCAACAAGCTACGGCAACGGCATGGGCTAAAGCGTTTCCATCGTCACCTACTACAAGGACTCCTGCAACCCCTTTTGGTCACGAGGTTTGGTTTCGGGCGAAGACCTACAAGGGAACCGCCGAGAAGAAGCACGACCCCACAGGTGCTCGCTGGAAAAAGGGGTGGTACCGTGGCCCATCGTATGATGTCAACAGAGGGCACATCATCCTTAGGGAAGATGGTGGACTGACGATTGCCAAAAGCGTAAAGTTCAATGTCGTGGACCCTGAACAACATCTACCTGATCTACTACCACCGGCCTTAACGGATGATACGCTTGAGGAGCCCGAGGGAACGGACGTCTTGATCACCAAAGAAAAGTTGCAAGAGGAGATTGAGTTTGTGGCGCAGAAGTTATTGGAGAAGAAATCTTTCAACAAAAGGGACGCGCTGTACCTCTTTGAAAAGCTGGAAGAGCTCGGCAACACCGACTTCAGAGTTGGAAAAAAGGCACCAATGACAAGTTGGTATACTGGGGCCTTTGTTCATGGAGGCGTGGCGGGTCTGCGCTCAAACGCAAGGAAGTTTCCAAAGGCAACAAAGTACCTTGTGGAGTTTGCAAAGGTTCACAATGGAGGAAGGGACTTCACGGCGGTGGGAATGACGAGAAACTCAGCGCTGGGTATGCACCGAGACGTCCACAACAGCAAGCTAACCAACAATATGGTCGTACCAATATCCTCCTTTGAGGGTGGAGGCTTGTGGATCGAAGACCCGGACGTCGTTGAGGAGGAGAAGGTGTTGAAGCAAGTCCCAAGGCGCGGAGACGTTCCAGGCAAAGTACTACCTCTACATGAAGGTTCGGTGGCAGTGTTTAGACCAAACCAGTGGCATGAAGTTCAACCTTGGAAGGGAGATCGAGTAGTGATGTTGATGTATACTCCGAGGGCAAGTAAGTTGACGGAGAACGATGTGGTGGAGTTGAATGATCTAGGCTTCACGCTCGCCAAGGGGGTTCAGAAGGAACAAGACGTGATGTTTCCGGAGCTCGAGTCGGACTTTGAGGGTCACTTCGAGGATGAAAATATTGAGATTCGGAGAGCTTTTCTTTCTACCCGGCCCGATGAGAACGAAGCCTTCCTCGAAGTGGACGATGATGATTTGTTTTCAGTTGAGGAAGCCAAAAAACATTATCTACCACCACCTCCAGTACATGATCCTGAAGGTCAGATTCGACTGAACAAGATGATCAAGAAGTCGGAGGTACAGTACACCGAAGGGATCGAGGAGATTTTAAAGGACCATGTGAGCAAGAAAAAACCACTGGAAGTGACTCACACGGTGAGCCTTGGAGAAGTTCGGCGTGCCCTGGATCAATGGGTCCCATCTGCAAAGAAGGAGTACATGAACTTGGTGGAAAATAAGAAGGCGTTTCGTCCGATGAAGTTCAAGGATCTTCCTGCTGGATGCCGCGTGGTACCGAGCAAAGGCGTATTTACAGTTAAACCAGACCAGAACCCAGATGGCTTCAAAAGAAAAACAAGGTTTGTGGCTTGCGGCAACTATGTTGCAGAAGGGGAACTTACTGGAATGGACTACGACGTGTACGCTGCGGGCTTGGATGCTACGTCTCTACGAACTATGCTAAGCTACAAAACAAGGCAGCCTTCTTGGGGAGCCGCGGTCACTGACATCAGGCAAGCGTTTGTGCTGGCTCCATGGATTGGGGGCGCTGTTGCCCTCAAACCGCCAGCTCTGGCGGTGGAAATGGGCTTAGCAGAGCCTGATGATTACTGGCTCGTTCTTCAGTCCATTTATGGATTGAGGGAGTCGCCAGCTGCATGGGCGAACTTCAGAGATGGAGAGCTCAAGGTGGCCCGCTGGATGTCGGAGGTGAATGGAAAAAGGGTTGAGCTGAAGCTTAAACAGCTGGTTTCGGACAGTCAAGTTTGGAAGGTGGTTCAAGCGGATGAGTCAAAAGGTCAAGAAGCCTTAGGGTACCTGTTAGTGTACGTGGACGACCTGATGATCATGGGCTCCAACACCCTCATGACCTCTTTCTTCAAGTGGGTCTCCAACAAGTGGGAATGTGATGATCTAAATGTTTTGGCCAAGGACAATCCTATCAAGTTCTTGGGCATGGAGCTTCACGATGTGGATGGTGGAGTGGAGATCTCTCAAGAGGGGTTCATTCGTGAGCTTCTTCGAGCTCATAATCATGGAGGAGGACGCGCTAAAACTCAGGGAGCAAAGGAAACCTTGATAATGTCGGTTGAGGAGGAGGCGGATCTTCTTATTTCCGCTCCAGTGGACTTGACCGGGAAGGAACACCTGGTTAAGGAAGCTCAACGGCGAGTTGGAGAGATGTTGTGGCTGAGTTCAAGGTCAAGACCGGACATCCAGTATGCCACGGCCATTATGTCAACGAGGATTACGAGATGCCCGGAAGCGGTTATTGGTATTGGTGACAGATTGCTGGACTACTTGAATGAGACGATGTATGACCGCGTGAGGTTTGCCAATGACACTGGTGGACCCCAGGAGCTCATCACCTACACCGACTCGAGTTTTGCGCCCTCGTCTGGCAAGAGCCATGGATCTATCGCTATTTTCTATGGTTCAAGTCCGCTGGCTTGGAGGAGTTCGAGGCAACCGCTGATTTCTTTGTCGACGGCAGAGACAGAGTTGATGGAGGGTGTTGAGGGTGCGATTATGACCTATGCCACGAAGTGCCTGATAGAAGAGGTCCTGGGAAAGGTGCTACCAGTACAGCTACGCATAGATAATAGTGCGGCGATTTCGTTGATGACAACATCGGCTGGAAACTGGAGAACAAGGCACTTACGACTCCGTGCAAACTGGATTCGTGAAAGGATCAACAACAAAGAAATCCTGGTGAAGCATGAGCCGGGAATCACTCAAAGGGCGGACTTGGGGACAAAGCCATTTAGCCGAGACCGTTTGGACCAGTTGAAGGATCTTTGGAGCGTCAAGGACCGCAGGGCCAAGGTAACGATCAACAAGATGATGAATGTGAAGCCTTGGTTGTGCAAGTTACTTATGATGTGTCAGGTTTGTGGAGTTCAAAGCACCAAGGAAAACATCCAGACCGAAGTGCCATGGGACCTGTACATTGTCATCATTGTCATGGCCATTGCAGTGATTGGCGTATGGGAAGGTCTTAAGTACTGCTTGGGTCAAAGGCAAGTTCGAATCAGAGCCTTGAGAACGAGGGCGTTGCAGAGTGAGCCGAAGAAACTTACAAGAAATGAGTTAAAGGAGCTCCAGCTGCTTATGTCAATGGTTCCTCAGGACTTGAGTGACGAACAGAAAGTTCGATTGGTCGACCTAAAGGAGTTGTTTGATTCGACTATGCCATCGGGTACCTCTCCCGTTCCAATGTTCAGAGACCAACAACCTCCTGTACCAACAACCACGAAGGCGGAGCTCCCATCATCCCCAATGGACAACCAACCTTCCTCGTCGTCCTCAGGGTATAACAAACAGCCCCGACCTTCGACAACGGCAACAAGACCTCCGGTCACAACAAGAGATCAAGGAGTTCAGAAGGATCCTCCGGCTTTTGAGAGGGTTCATCCGCAACCTCCTCAGGTGCGAATATTTACAGGGCCTTATCATCAAGCAGAAGGACGAGATGTAATTCACGTCTATGAAAACTGCTGGGGTCTTCGAAATGCGGGAAGGAAGCGGCAAGTACAGCTTTGCCGGTGCTGCGCTGAAAACAATGGCAACAGAATCTACTGAAGCCTGTGATTGGATGTGGCGCGGCTCTTCCGATGTGCGCCAAGGAGGAGTATAGAAAGATAGAAGGCTTCAGTTGAGGCCTCGCTTACTGTGCTACCTTGGCCATCGGATGCTTTTCAAGGGCTCAAGAAGAGCTCCAGTTGAAGGACACAACATGCCTAGGCGGTGCCATGTCTGTACATTTAACCGGCAAGGATCTAGAGCATTGACAGTCCGCTGAGCGCAAAAGTGTAGCTTCTCTCTGCCGCGTTTCATGGTTTAGCGCTGTCTCCGACTGCATAAGTCTTTATTCTGAACCGGCGAGAACATCAATTCGATTATCGAGAACTTTCAGAGGCTTAAGGTTTAGGGTTTGAGATTTTCCAGTTTAGGGTTGGTGACTTCGTTTGGCCGAGTGATACATTGCTTGCTCCGGCACCCGTGGAGGCGGTGAAGCATCGCGAGCTGATCGCGAAGGGAATCCCTGTCGAGGCCAGGCACACATCTTCAGCCGCCTCTTGGGGCCATGGGCTGTGCCATGGGCTGTGCCACGGGCCAGGCTTACGAAAAGGCCCGCCAAGCTGCCGTAGCAGCCGAGGAAGCGGCACAGGCAGCCCGGGAAGCTGCAGAGAAAGCCGGGAGCTTACTGCAAAGAGTCTGGCTGGCCCAGCTTGTTTGCACACGCAAGCGTGGCCTGCCGTGGCTGCTGACGCCTCCAGGAGGAACAGCTGGGAGAGGGTGAAGATGAAGATGGCGAGGAGAAGGCTACAGCTACGGGGAGGGCCCTAGGATTTCAGGGCGCGTGCGTGGGTGTGCCGTGTCTGTGTCAGGCCGAGGGCAAAGCCGAAGGAGAGGAGAAGCCGGAAGGCGAAGCCGAGAAGCCAGAGGCCGGGTTTAGGGTTTAGGGACCCTAAACCCTAAACCCTAAATCCTAGCTCTGACTTCGAATCTCCGTGGCTTAGGCCGAAGAAGAGAAGAAGGAAGGCGAGTGAGGAGCATGATTAGAGCAACGACTGCAGAGTGCAGCTTTACGGCAAAGATTTGCCCTTTGCATGCCGAGTTCCCAATCCAGGGAGCCCCCTGAAGGGGTGAATGGCGTGAAGTACCTTGCAGAATTCTCGTATGATCATCAGGGCCGGGCACCCCCCCCACCCCTCCCACCCATTGAGGTGGCTCCAGTGCTGCACAGTTTCACCTGCATGTGGCAGCTGAACTGCCCGGAGCATGATTTCAGCACGTTGGCCTGCTGCATATTCGTGACCCACCGTGTAACTCCATCCGAGCCACCTGCAGAAAATCTCGCGTCGCATCTGGCTTCGCCTGTCGCTGCGCATTCGAGCAGAATTGCCCCGCTTGCGGCACGTTGCCGCAGGGACGAGTAGTACGACCACTGCACGTACCACTACCCGTACCAGTGCCACTACCACCACGACCACTCACTAACTATAACAACATATTGCAACCATGCACCACTACCACTGCTAACAAGTGTCTAATGGAGCGTGTCAAATCGTATCATCGCGAAGTCTCTCATGCAAGGCTTGCGACTGCGATTGTGCTTCAGACTGCGGACTGCGCTCTCGTTCTGCAGGTTCAAGCAACATGAGCATGTTCAGCCTACGTGAGAGGTACTTATATCAGCCTTGCAGCCAGCCGAGTCAACTCCACTGACACCGAGAAGAGAGTCGGCACGTTTTCGTCTCAACAGGAGAGTTGCATGAGCTCAGCCTGATCTTAAGCCCATTTGTAAACTCTGGGTGCCGTGATTTTCCCCGTCGCAAAGCCCCGATTTTCTGCCCCATGGCACCGGCACCAGTGGCCTTTTGCGGCGTTGCGGCACCGAGCGAAGCTCGTGGCAGCGCCTTGGAGCGAGGCTCGTCTTTCAAGGAGTCCTCGGAACCCTGCCGAGCCATCATCTTGAGCAGATGATTAGGTTCTACTGTGTTCTGTTTGCCACGTGAAATTTTGTTGTGCACGTTGCTCTGGTCCCTCCGGCGCAGCGAATCCGAGGATGCCTCATTTGTTGCGAAGAGCGCTACGCTCTCAGACAGTTTTGCAAGCTTGCTACAGACGGAGGCAGCAGGTCTGCATATGGCCGCTCAGCAGATTTTTGAGCGGCTTCATGTCTATGAGGACCCAAGTATGTGGCTGTGGGCCACTGTGGGCATGGCGAAGTCTGCTGGATCTGTATCATCAGGCCCGCTCCGGAGCCCTTCCGGTCCTTTCGGCATGCTTGGAAGATTTCTCGGAGGGGTTAGGACCCGTCTGAAGATGCATGGTTTTGGCGGAGGCTTCGCACCCTCATGAAGGACATCAACTGTCCGGTCACTTGGCACTTCCATAGGCCTTGCATCGCTTGAATGCTCAGACGGCATTCGTACACGCAGGTCTGCAAAGTACCCATCACACAGATGGCAATCACGCCAGATGGTCGAATACCGGCGCGAAATGCTCCCAAAGATGAAAAGCCGCTGGGAAGCAGTCCATCATCATCCGTATTTTCGATGCTTATTGCCATTAGCAGTGTTCGTATTGCTGGTACCCTAGCTAGTACCCTTATCCATAAACAAAACCGCCTAACAACTGCAGTAGCATTGCTTTCCAGGATCGGAACCAGGTTCAATATCACCCCGAAGACCAGGCTTTGAAATGGGCTGAATCGAAGTGGGAGTTTGCGAAAATTAGGGTACCTTATTTTGGGGTCCTTATAATAAGGATCCTACTATTTGGGGTCCTACATTAGGGTCCCCTATTTTCGGAAACTCCCAAGTTGATTCCGCTAGGGCGGCAGCCTGCGGACCGGTACAATAACCGGGTCATACGGGGCTCATGGGTTCAGCAAGCGAGGTGTACATTTACACAGCAGATCTCTCGTAGTCTAGGGATCCGTGTTTAGGACTTGTGAAGGGCCCGGAACAGAGCCGATCTAGCGTGCCTCAGCAGGTGTGAGAAGTCTATCATGTAACTTAGACGTGAATATACCCCTTCGAGCGTTTGCTGCTTACAAGTACAGAACAACATTGCTGGCACTATGGCTGCTCTTGCTTTCTAACATCAGGATGACTACTGTTGGATCTTGTACCATCATGGCTATCCTTCGAGTTTCTGATGCTTGTGTCTCACGTTGTAGAGTGTCTTGTGCCTGTAGACGTTGCTGGCACATCAAAGGCTTGGGCTTGTTTACAGCAACGCCTCCGTGCGCGAGGATGTAGAAGGATTGCAACTTGGACTGCACTGGCTGCTTGAGGCTGGTATGGGAGTTTCCGAAAATAAGGGGTACACTATTTTGGGGTCCTTACAGTAGGGATCCTAGTATTTAGGGTACCCCTATTTTCGGAAACTCCCGTATCATTGCTTTGCATGACTCCATGGAAGTCTGTCTTGGTTGTATGTCAGGTTCGATTATCGCTGCTGGCAGAGAAGCTGTGTGGAGAAGGACGAGTGCTTCCCTACCCTGGAGGAAAGGCAGTGGTGTATTTCTCGAAGATCTGTCGCCTGAACTCTGACAGGCACTTCAACGCCACGTAGAGCAAGTGCATCGACGTCGCTTTTGTTCGACATGTTTGCGAGGCACATGGCGCGGTCCTCGCTTTTAGCCTTCCATGGCCCAAGCAGGGATAATCAGATGTTGGCATTAAGCCCCTTTCTGCGCCCCGAGCCAGTCCTTGGTGAAATGTATGTCTCGAGTTCTTCTGCAGGACGCAAAGCCTTCCTCTTTGAGCAACTGCTCTACTCGCCGGATGACTTGCGGAGACATCACGAAGACGGCGACACACCAAACACTGTGGGCAACAAGCTCAGCAGTGTTGACGTGCTCAAAAACTACTTATATACAACTTTTTCTGAGGTCCCAACTTGCCAACGTGTCCAGCACATGCCTCTTGTGCTTTTTGCCATAAAAGCTTTTACTCGGAAGAGGACCTCCGGAAGTAAGCCGTGCTGATCTCCTGACACATCCGGAAACCCAAGACCACCTGCAGTCACTGTAAGAAGGATCTGCTGGAGCACATGCAGATGAAACATCAGCCCTGCGGCCTATGTGACTTGGCGACATCAGTCTTGGCGTCCACTGGACAAATCACAGTAACAGGCCATAATTTTCGATGTTCTTGCAGGCCTACTTTCCTGTGGTTGCTGCAGTTTGCATGCATTTTTCGGGAGTCCCTCTTGTGCATTATGCAGCCTGACGTACCCCTGCAGCCCCATGTCCCTATGAAGTCCCTGCAGTCCAGCATTCCCGCGGCCTGTTCCGACTCCAGTTCTTGCAGTCCGCAGAGAGCTTCGAGAAAGTATTTGTGGGAAAGGAGTTCAACTCAGACTTTCTGGTATGTAACATACATACGCACTCTTGAAATCATAAGTTTCCGGATGCCTAAGGGTACCCTTAAATGGCTGCAGCCGTGCTGAGCCTGGAGTCTTGCTTAACTTACAATATCCCTTAGGGGCTTGTTGTCGTGGTCGCGGTAGTTCTTCTTCTTCTACTACTACTACTACTACTGCTACTACTACTGCGACGCCGACGACGACGAGTACTACCACCGCCATCACCAGTAATATGAGCACCACCACCACGACCACTGCCACCTCCGATTGCTGTTGGAATTCTTCTTAGCATCAGAAGCGTGATTATCACATGATTATTGGTTGACTGAATCCAAGAGCTTGCCAAACAGGCATTGTGGAAACTGTACAATTGCCACCCCGGAAATTCAGATGTCAGATATTCCGATAATCATTAAGAGCCATATAGTACAAACAAATCGAAAACGTCAGAAATACAGAAATTCGAATTTCCGGAATTTCCGGCAAATCCTAAAATTCATGAAGTCCGAATTTCCGGAATTTCCGGAATTTCAGGAAAATCATGAAATTCATGAAAGCCGAATTTCCGGAATTTCCGGAAAATCATGAAATTCATGAAAGCCGATTTTCCGGAATTTCCGGAAAATCATGAAATTCATGAAAGCCGATTTTCCGGAATTTCCGGAATTTCCTGAAAATCATGAAATTCATGAAATCCGAATTTCCGGAATTTCCGGAAAATCATGAAATTCATGAAAGCCTATTTTCCGGAATTTCCGGAAAATCATGAAATTCATGAAATCAGAATTTCCGGAATTTCCGGAAAATTATGGAATTCATGAAAGCCGATTTTCCGGAATTTCCGGAAAATCATGAAATTCATGGAATCAGAATTTCCGGAATTTCCGGCGAATCATGAGATTCATTTAATTAATTGATTAATATCAACAATACAATAATACAAATACACATTATATTTTAAATATATATAATTTCGAATATCGTCATTATCATGACTACTCTGTATATGACTGCTGGCACTGGATGTGAGTACAGGGTGGGCCGTGCTTCTGAAAAGGCGACAGCATGGCAGCATAGACTCATAGAAGTGACTCGCCGTTGTTTGTGATCCAAAAGGTGCTCGAACAGGGGTTCGTTCTGAGCCATGCGCTTTCGCCCTTGCGACCTTTGAAACTTCGGCTGACAGCCAGAAGACATGTCGGATGAGGAGTTGGAGCAGCTCGATGCGCTGGTCAGGGAGGTTAGGAAGAGCACAGACACCCCAGCTCACCGAGGGCCGCTGTCGACCAAGTTTGCGAGACTAGCACGCAGTCTGAAGCTTTCCAAACAACACAAGCATCAGGTGGCTGTGAGAGTACGCAGCTTGATTGAGAGATACAATGGGCGGCACGCCAAAACGTCAGAAGATCTCATCAATCTTGATGAACGCAAGCGGCCAATCCAGAAGGGCAAAGGTAAGTACAAACAGTGGTTGCCCGCAGCTCTTCTCAGAGTTTGCTGGGGCGTGAGACCAGAGCGCAGACCCAGGAGGAAGCGCGTGCCAACCGCGAGGCTGCGCAAAAAGAGCAGTGTTTCGGCTGCCAGCCAGAAGCGAGCTCCTCCTGCTGTGGCGGTTGCTTCCCTTCGCGAGACAGCCCGGCAGAACCAGTCTAGCACAACACACGTGGCCCGGATCCGACATGCGATGTCAGAACTTTTCATGCGTGTTCAGGAGCAGGAACTCAACATGTTGCCGCGTGTTCAGGAGCAGTGGATAGAGATTGCATTTGACGAGACCCAGGAGCCAGTATCCATGCAGACAACTGCAGAAACGGCTCAAGTCATGGTGCTTCACATGAAGTTTTTTCGGCTGCCAGCCCGGGGCGCAAAACTTCACGTGTTCAGAGTGGTGTTGCCCACCGCGGTGCTGCCAGGCACGACCACTGCCGACCTCCTCGGTGGCTTGTTGGCACGCGTCCCCGTAGCTTTGGAGCAGCTCAAAGCCGTCGCTGATAGAACCACCTTCTTGTTGAACACTGACAGTTTCGGCAGCTGCCTAAAGTTGGTGAAGTGTTTGCAAACAAGTCATGCCTGCCTGAGCTGTCCGTGCCGTATGCACCAGTTGTGCTTGTCAATGACGGCAAGCATTGCTCAATCCGGCTTGATGGCATCCCTGTTTTGCAGTGCGCTGCTGCTGCGGAGGTCACGCTTGCAGAAAACGCTCCGTGCCAGACTGAAGCGCTTGGTGTTTGAGAAACTCCGCATCGAGTACGAGCCGCCCAGCTCTTCGGCTGTCAGCCATGCCAGAGCAGTGTGGGACTTGATTTGGCCTTTGATTCAAGCGCGGCACGACAAGGACAAGCGCGTCACCACTCCAAGAGCCCAGGCATGGCGCAGGCTGCGCAAAAACCTTTGTGGCCCCTTGGATGACACGACCAGTGTGGTGCATTACTGTCCATACGGATGTCACCACTCCAGGGATGAGGCGGCTTCAGAGATCTTTGAGGACTTGTGCGTTGTCTTCCTGGACTCCCCGCCTGTGGTGCCGGCTCTGAACAAGTGGACAAAGCTCGCCCCGCCGGTGATGTGGTTTTCTTGCTTCCTGCAGGTTCATGGTTTGCTCGCCCAGTGCTTGCAGCCGATGATAGATGCAAATGCTGCAAACGTGTCGCTACCGGTGCTGTGTGGGGATGAGGAGATCGAGCAAGACACAGAGGAGCAAGGGTGCGGTTTCGGAAACTTCGAAAAGGAAGAGGCCGCAAGGTTTCGGAAGTTTGCTCGGTTCGCCACCTGCCCAGAAGTAGGGCCCAAACTGGCGGCGACGCTGCTCTCATTGCTCCCAGGTCTATCTATCATGGGAAAATTCTTCGACTCTGCGGAGGAGTGTGCTGACCCAAGCACAAGTCATGCAGCAACCACCCTGAGTTTCACTCAGGCTTCGCAGTCGCCTGCTGTCAGCACGATTGAAGTTTTGCTGTCTGCCTTGTCCTCTGAACAGAGCTCGCACTGGCTGTCACTGTGCCTTCCGGGTTCTGCAGGCTGGGATGCCAGAAGGTTCCAATGTGCAGCAACACCAGCATGGGTGCAGGTTGGCCAGTTGTACTCCAGGTTGGTGATGCCTTTCAGTGCATGGCCTTTCAAGGCAGGCCGCATGCTGGAGCCAGGCGTCTCCCGCCAAACGCAAGAGGCCTTGGCGAAGGAGTTGTTGCTTGGTTGATATCAAACTAGAAATCAAATCTTCAAGTCTTCAAGTATCAATGGTCAATGGGACCGGAATTCGGAATCAAAGCCCAGTAACTTTTGCTTTCGTAGTCTTGAGTCTTTAGTTTAAGTTTAAGTCTCTTTAGTCTTTAAGTCTTAAGTCTTTAGTCTTTAGTAATTCAGCTAGAACTGATGTCACAGAGTCACAGATGTCCAAAGTCCTTGGAGTCCAAGGTTGGGGTTGTGCGAGCACCGCGACCTGTACATTTCCTTCATGAAGCAAGGCTTGGAGGAGGTCGACGACGTGCTGTCCCCTGACAACTTACTGCGAATGAAGCACCTTCTGGAGGTTGCTCCTGTGACAAACATTGTGAGCGAAAAGTCATTCGCAGGTTCCCACACCCGCCGAATGGCGGATCACGGTCAAAGTCCGAAGTTGCCAACGCTGGCTGCGCAACATGTGTTGGCCCATAGCAAAAGTATTTTGGACAGCGAGGTTTGTAGGCAGACTTCCGGCTGTCAGCCAGCAGTTTCGGCTGTCAGCCATGAAACGGCAGAAGCAGGGACCAAGACCAACAGCAACGGCTGGTCTGAGTTCCTGCGCGCCAACCATGCAACTGGTCAGAGCATGCGGTCGTTAGCCGACAAGTGGGGGGCGCTCAGCCGTGACGAGAAGGCTACGTTCACTGCTGCAGCCAAGACGCGGCGACCGCCAGCCTCACCGCAGCTGGCGCCGCCGCCACAGCTGGCGCCGCCAGCGCAGCAGGCGTTGCCCAGAAGACCTCCTGCTTCTACTAGTACTGCCTGGCCTCACTGTGGAGACGACTTCTACCCATTGCGCCAAGAGGGCTTGGATGGCATGGCTGGAGCAGTCCGCTCCCTAGCTGCCAACTGGGTGCAGCGTGTAGGGGATGGCCCATGCAAGCCTGCCCAGGCAGTTGTTGAGGACTGCGGAGCTTGGTGTCGCGGCCAAGTTTGCTTCAAAAAGCTGAGTGACTCTCGCCAGCAGGCTTTGGAGTACATGCGTGTGAAGCTGAACCGATTCGCTGCCTTCTGCAAGGAGAAAGCACCTGTCTTCGACGACATGTGGCAGATCCTCCCGGTTTTGCATGTGAACGTGCGAAATCCGGCTGGCGCCGGCACCAGTGCAGACCGACCCTGCGGTGTCACCTTGCTGCAGCTCTGCCCGCTGCACGACTCGCAAGTGTTCTGCTTGTCTGAGAAATCCGACATACCAGCTGTGGGCACTGTGCTGGAGTTTCAGCCCGACTTGTGCAACTTGCGAGGAGCAGTCGAGGTTATGCAACTCTGCGCATCATTGCAGCCGCAGCAGTCGATGGACGGTTTTGCAGACTCTGTGCAATGTTTGCGCCTGCGCTGCGAGCACCAGGGTTTGACGACTTTGAGAGTCACCGCCATTGAGGACATGGCAGGCATGGAAGCAGAAGCAGCACACAGAAGAAGACGCGACAAGGATGCCGCCAAAGTCGCAGCAGCTCTTTCGCGGCTGGATGATGCTGCGCTGCTGCAGCCGAAGCGCCGACGCATTACTTCCAAGCGAGCAGATACAACGCATCAACCAAAGCGGCACGTTATCCCTGCGCAATCTTCCGGCTGTCAGCCAGAGGCAGGGGCTAGCGAAGATGCTGAGCAACAACAAGAATTGTGTGAGTGGGATGAGGAACTAGATGCAAGCGCAGTGGCTGCAAATGGTGCGGATGCGTACGCGGCCCTGGAGCAAGAAATTTTGGAAGTGGGTGCGTCCGCCGAGCACTTAGTGGAGATGAGAGAAGCGTCAGCGGCAGATGGACGCGAGGCATTGCAAGAACGCGGGGAGAATGGGCCTGCTCAAGTCGGGCAGACGGTGCAACAAGCAGCGAGACTTGTGCGCATGGACCCTGCGACTGGTCGTGTTTTCCGCACCGACACTGAGCCCAACCAGTATATAGGAAGGATGACGCAGATCAAAGTCAACACACCGCAGGAGGCCTTTTCCGTTTACTGTTCGCTTCACGGCTGTCAGATCATGCGCGGCATCCGCCGTTGCCCATCAACAGACGAACTCCTGCGATGGTTCGAAGAGGGCCTGCAGTTGCCCAAAGGCAAAGACGCTGCGGTGCAAAGAAAACACAAAAGTTCGTTCCCTGAAGCCGAGCCATCGGCGTGATGGGTTGGACACCGCTCCACGCAAGCTTCTTATTCGGCTGACAGCCAGACAGATGTTGATGCCAGCTCGTTGTTGTCTGAGTCTGAGTGTTTCATTCGGCTGCCAGCCAGTGCCAGCTCGTTCTGTTGTTTGACTGCTTCGGCTGCCAGCCAGTGTAATCGCAATGGGCAATGGGGTAAGAATCCCTTAAAGAGGGATTGCTTGTTTCACCTGCAACAAGAGAGTTGCCACAGAAGAGGAAACAGTGCCCTGCCAGCACAGTTGATTCATGATTCATGGTTCATTTCATTTCATAAATAATATCAATTGTCAATATCATTCGTATCATGAATCAAATCATATCAATCATATCATATCATATCAATATCAATATCATCATGAACCATATTAATATCATCATTTTCATTCATTTATCATGATTCATTTCATATCATTGCAAATCATATCATATCATTTTGTGATTCATGATTCAGAGGTTCATAGATTCATAGACTATCTGTCTATCTCAGCTCATATGAATATGAATATGATTCAAATTCACATCATTTGTCATTGCTATAAGGCTATATCATTGTCGAATCCTATCTTGTCAAATCATTGTATCTCATGTCACATGTCATCTCATATCACTCATAGCTCGATTCATATTCGACTCACATCAATCATTGTGAGTCGTTATCATTGGTCAGAGTCATGAGTGTCAGTCAGTATCAGTGTCAGTGTCAGGTGTAGTAGTACAGTATAGTCTCGTCGTCTATAGTCGTCGTCATTAGTCTAGTCTATATAATATAGGTCTATAGTCTGTCTATAGTCTATAGTCTATAGTCTATAGTCAATGTCAATGTCACATGTCTATACTGTCTATATATTATATATAGACTATAGACTATAGACTATAGTCTAGTCAGTCTGTCTGTCTATAGTCTATAGTCAGTCTGGGTAGAGTCGAGGTCTGAGTCTCACAGCCTCATGCAGTATGCAGCATGCAGCACTTGCTTTTTGTTCGTTGGGGGGGGGGCAGGACGGTCGCAAGAAAGCCCACATGGCATGTCACGTTTGCGGTTTGGCTTTCAAGGCATGTGACATGACATGTGGGGATGCTACTGCCGCACCAGAGGCTACAGGAGTACACCCACTGCTACTACTACTACTACTACTACTACTACAACCACTACTACTACTACTACTACTACTACTACTACTGCTACTGCTACTACTACGACTACGACTACTCCTACTCCTACTCCTACTCCTACTCCTACTGCTACTGCTACTGCTACTACTACTACTACGACTGCTACTGCTGCTGCTACTACTACTACTACCACTACTACACTACTACTCACGACTGCGACTCTACGACTACGACTCCTACTACAACTGCTAGGACGACGAGGGCCACGGTAGTCTGTAGGCGCCATAGTTTCCAGCCGCTTCGAGCTTCTTCGCCTTGGTGCCGCCACACCGCGCGCTTCGGCTGACAGCCAGTGGCTTGCTGAATCCGGCTGTCAGCCAGGCCTGCTTCGGGTTTCGGCTGTCAGCCAGCAATGCCGAAGCCTCCGCATCAGCCGCCGACCATTATCAACGTATCGGCCGGAAGGCTCATACTGTGTGGAAGGCGTGAGGTGGAGGAGGAAGACAACGTCTTCCAAAAGACGAAGGGTGTTGTCGTCAGCTGCGCTGGCGAGACCACCGAGCCGTACAAGTACCACAGCAAGGCGGCCTCGTGGACGAAGCTGACTATCCCGATCGGCTACAGTGGGCGCGAGCGCTCCACTGCATGGGGGTCAGCCATTGTGGCGATCAAGGCGGCCCTCGCAGCCGGGAACGATGTGGCGCCTTGACTGCAGCTAGCAGCTACCCCCCAAACCCTAGACCCCAAAACCCTAAACCCCGAAGCCCTGTTGCCCCTTGCCCAAAGCCTTTTGCCTGTAGCCTACAGCCTATAGCCTATAGCCTATAGCCTATAGCCTTACACCGAAGCTAAACCCTCAACAGCTTAAACTGTTTAAACCTAAGCCCTTAAGGCCCCGAGGGCTACTGCTACTGCTGAATGCTGCTACTTGCTGATGCCAACTGCTATGATTTTGCTACAACAACAACAACAACGACAACAACAACAACTACGACTACTACTACCACTACTACTACTACTACTACTACTACTACTACTACTACTACAACTACTACTTCTTCTACTACTACTACTACTACTGCTACTACTACTACTACTACTACTACTACTACTACTACTACTACTACTAGTACTACTACTGAGTGTCAGTGCCAACTGAGGTCATCCACTGCAACGCTGGATTCCACCGGTCACCTTTGGTTGCCGCCATGGTCTTGGTTGAAACCGGCGGTTGCAGCGACTTGGATGACGCCATGAAACAAATAGCGGGCATGCGCAACATCTGGCACCTCTGGTCAAACCGCGATCTCCTAGGCGACGACAAGACTTTGGGAAAAGCTTGGTTGTGGGCCCAGAAGACGGTTAACCGGACTCCGGCTGCCAGCCAGCGAGGGGAGGCCAGAAGTTCGGCTGACAGCCAGAACGTGCGCGAGCCAAGCACAGGCAAAGGCAGCGCAGGCAAAGGCAAGGGCAAAGGTGACCAAGGCGGCAAAAGCCCGGCTTCGGCTGTCAGCCAGAGCAAGGGCAAAGGCAAAGGTGACCAAGGCGGCCAAAGCCAGACTTCGGCTGTCAGCCAGAACCAGGACGTTCCTGTCAAAAGGATGCCGACGGCCATGGCAGAGGCCGTGGAGCCAGAGCCGCGGTATCTCTTCGAGGTCACCAGCGGCACCTCGTGCTTGATCTGCGACGTAACGTGTCCGTCGGACCTGCACCTGCAAGCGCACCTCATGACAGAGTGGCACATGAACAAGATTCGGGCGAAGCAGCGCGAGGTGCAGGCCGGCAAAGCGGCAGGTTCGGCTGTCAGCCAGGAAACCAAGCCGCCACAGCTGCCGCTTACCTCCAAGGCTCCTCCTGGTGAGCCTGAGCCCTCGGCCAAGACAGCGCAGCCGGCGCAGCCTTTGGCGGCACCTGAGCTGAAAGCACCTCCGAAGAAGCCAGAAGCCGTCAAAGAAGAAAACGAAGGAGTCCCCACCACTGCAAAGGCACCGCCACCTTGTGTTGCAGAAAGCAGCGCCCCAGCTGCAGCAGCGCCTCCTGCAGCACCGACTCCGGCTGTCAGCCAGGCCCCAGCAAGTGGTCCGCCTGCAGCACCGACTCCGGCTGTCAGCCAGACCCCAACAAGTGGTCCACCTGCTCCTGCAGCACCGACTCCGGCTGTCAGCCAGGCAGAGACAAGAGAAGCACCAGAGGAAGCGCCAGCAGCGTCGAGCGCCACCGCAGTGCCTGCAGCGTCGAGCCAGGCAGCGCCGTCCCAGCCCACTCTGCCTCCGGCTGGCCGCCAGAACCCTCTCCCTCCTCGACCACCGCCACCGCGCCGCTCTTCGGCTGTCAGCCAGCAGGGCCAGCAGGTCAAAAGAGAGGCGGACACTGCGCCCCAGCCTGAGGTAAGTCCGCGCATCGTGAAGGCGCGCTCGGACAGACAACGCCTTCTGGCAGAGCTGGCGCAGGTCGACGAGGTGCTGGGCGTGGACAGCTACTACGCCCACCACGGGCTCCGCAACGGCGCCGACACCAACCAGGACGGCCACAACGTCCTTCACCTCTTGGCCGAGGACGTCCGCCTTGGTGAGGTCAGCGAGCTCTTGGCGCTGCGTGTGGCGCAGGAGGCACCGGTCAGTACTCTCAATGAGTACACCAGAGGGGGCCGCCCGGCCGGCGCGACAGCCCTGCACATGCTGGCTGGCGCAGGCCGCGACTCTGAACGGTTGCGGTGCAGGTTGGCTTCCATTTTGATGGAATGCAACGCCAACCCGGAGGCTCGCGACGCTCGGGGGGCAACTGCCTTGCTGCGGGCTGCCGGCGTCGGCTCGGTGACCATGGTTCAGCGCCTCATAGAGGCTAGGGCAGATGTGCACTCTTGCCACGCCACTACCAGGCGTAACGCCTTCGACGTTGGCAATGCCGAGATGCGCGAGTACCTGCGGCGTCAGCACAACCTCAGGGGCACAGGCGCGCAGGGGCCCTCCTCAAGAGCCATGTTCCCCGATCGCTCCCGCCAGACCAGAGACGAAAGGGGCGACACGCACGCGAGCCAGGCACGCAGGGATCGCGGTGAAAGGTACAGGCAGTGGCGCTGAGTTTCTGCTGTCAGCAAGGCCAGTGCTTCTGCTTTCGGCTGTCAGCCAGAAGTACCAAGTAGCAGCGGTGCCTTCGGCTGTCAGCCAGGCAAAAGCGTGCCAGCGTGCCTTCGGCTGTTAGCCAGGCCTCCTTCGGTCCTTCGGCTGTCAGCCAGGCCTCCAACCACGGTTGCCAGCGCAGCTCGGCGGCTCCCTCACAACGTGCCTTCGGCTGTCAGCCAGGCCTCCACGCTGCCGGCGCGCGGCGCTTGACTCAAAGCCGAGTGCACGGGTGGCGCCAAAAAATTCCGTCGGTTTGGGCAGAGGGACTGGGGAAGGGCGGGAAGGGTAAGAGTCGTCTGAGTTGTCGGGTCACATGTCACATGTCACGACACTTCCACGTCTATGTGTCTATGTCAATGTCCCAAGTCACAATGTCTATGTCACATGTCTATAGTCTATAGTCTATAGTCTATAGTCTATAGTCCGTCTATAGTCTATAGTCTATAGTCTATAGTCTATAGTCTACAGTCTATAGTCTATAGTCTATGTCACTGTCTATAGTCTATAGTCTATGTCTATGTCTATGTCAATGTAACAATGTCTATGTCATGTCTATGTCACTGTCTATGTCACTCTATGTAAGTCTATGATCCATGGTCCATGTATGTCTGTATGTCTGTATGATGTATGTATGTCTGTCTAGTCTCTAGTCCCCTGTGCTTCCTCGACCATAGTTTTTGGCTTTTGGGGTGGTTGCGAACCACCTGGTTCCCAGAGACTCCAATATCCCTTAAGGAGTATACTTTAAATTATAGTAGGATCCTTAATATGATTTAAGGAATATTCCCTAATTAAGGGATATTGGAGTATCTGCCGCTTGCCCCTTTTGCGGAGAAAAAAGGGGGATACCAGATCCGTGCCAGTTTAGCAGTGCATGTGTGTTGATCACCAGTACTTCCCGACTCCATCGCCCCACTGCTTCCCGACTGCTACTTGCCACACCAACTGTAGCCCTCTATAGCCTGTAGACTGTAGACTGTAGACCTAGCCGCCTAGCCCGCCTAGCTTCTGCCGCAACGGTCGCGCTGCGCTGCTTCGTGCCTTCGGCTGACAGCCAGTGCAGCGTGCTGTGCGGTTTCGTGCCTTCGGCTGACAGCCAGTGGAGCAGCGGGTAGTTTGCTACGTCCGGCTGTCAGCCAGGTTCGGCTGTCAGCCATGAAAAGATTGGCTCCAGTGCAGCCAGAGACGTGGTCTCAGTTAAGGGAGGAGGAAATCGAGGAGCAAGAGAACCAGTTATTGGAAGCCCAGGCCCGATTGGGAGATTTGTTGGCCGAGCGGCGGCAAATGGCCGAGCGCATCCGATTGCTTGAGGCTGCGAACCGTGCCTTTATGGCGGCGATCACAGGGCTAACCCAAGACTTGCAGCATTTGGTGTCGGTTTTGGAACCGCAAGTTTCAGAATCCGCGGATGCAGCTGATGCAGCTGTGGTGCAATACGAGCTCAGCTGCGAATTGGACGATGTTTCGATGGCTCTAGCTGGTGCGCTGGATCGGCTGGCTACGGCAGCTGATGTCGCCGAACGGCTGCGTGGTGAAAGCGAGGCAGAGACTCAAACGTTGGTGGTTGAGCAGGCAGGGCTGCGCGCACATGCAGTTCTTGACGAAAATCAAGATGCCCAGCCCTTCGTGATGGACTGGAGCCCATGAAGAAAGTTCTCTGCCAAAATCCGGCTGCCAGCCAGATCGGGTCGCAGTGAGCGGAGCCTTCCGGCTGGCAGGCAGATGCACGGCTGCTGGCGGCCTGCCTTCGAGAAACCGACTCCGTGCCAAACTCCGGCTGCCAGCCAGATTGGTTGCGCGGCTGCTGGCGCCCAATTTTTTTAAAGTGCCCATAGCCCATAGTGCACTAAGTTCCACGGCGCACAGAGACTACGCTGAAGGCAGCAAAGTTCGAAGTCAACCGCAATGGTTTGCGTTTGTGTTGGTCGTGCAGAGGCAGTTGTGCATGTTGCGTGTTGTTAGCCTTTGGCTACAGGGGTGCAGGGAGTAGTCGCATGATGCAAGGCTAGCTTTTGGCAGCATGAGAGTCGACAAACATTGCAGCACATGTGAACAGAGGAATGCAGCACATGTTTCAGCCGTTTTAAAGGGCAGCCTATACGGCTTTAAGCATGCATTTTTAAACCCAGCCAGAGCCCGCAGTTCACGCCCACGGATTTTTTCGGTAACAGTCTAGAGTCTAGACTATACACTGTATGAAGGACTATAGTCTATAGTCTATAGTCTAGAGTCTATAGTCTATAGTTAGTTAGTCGAGTCGACGATTAGCTTTTTAATTTTTGAATTATTGATAAATCAGCAAAATGAATTGTATGCTGCTGTATGCTGTATGCAGTGCCATCATATTGCATATTGCTGCATATTATTATTAATTATTAATTACTATTAAATAATTTAATACAAAGTATCACTGAATCACTTATAATTCTATACCAGGGAAGGGCTCACTCTTATTGAGTGTGCAGCTCGATGTAGGATGATATGCAAGGATGTCAACTGTCAACGAGGTAGGGGCGGCTGGTTCATGGTTAGTGAGGCCACTACAACAGGCAGACGGCACCTTGAATTTGGAAAGAAATTTGTCCAAGTCCTCGTCACCGATGAGAGACTATCCTGGTGACACGCTGCAGCACTTTGCGCTGAGCTTTCTGTGACTTGGGACCGAGTGAGAAGGACTCACCCGCTGCAGGACGACGTGGGCGTTTTAAGTGCGTTGCAGTTTGTAGGTCGCTTGATTTCAACAATCCAAACCGAAACCTGCAACTAAGTTGAACCATGAATCCGAACTAGAATCAGAAATGACCTGAGCTATTGTGTTTCGGAATTTCCGGAATTTCCGGAAAAATTGGGTGCGTAATTTCCGAATTTCCGGAATTTCCGGAGGAGCGTAAGTTACAGAGGGTTTCCGTTAGTTACAGTATGGTTTGCGTTAGTTATCAGCCTCGTAACTTTCATACGGCAGAAATTCCATTAATTCAATAATTCATAATTTCCGGAATTTCAGGAATTCCAGAAATTCAATAAATCATAATTTCCGGAATTTCCGGAATTTCCGGAGGAGCGTAAGTTACAGAGGGTTTCCGTTAGTTACAGTATGGTTTGCGTTAGTTATCAGCCTCGTAACTTTCATACGGCAGAAATTCCATTAATTCAATAATTCATAATTTCCGGAATTTCAGGAATTCCAGAAATTCAATAAAATATAATTTCCGGAATTTCCGGAGGAGCGTAAGTTACAGAGGGTTTCCGTTAGTTACAGTATGGTTTGCGTTAGTTATCAGCCTCGTAACTTTCATACGGCAGAAATTCCATTAATTCAATAATTCATAATTTCCGGAATTTCAGGAATTCCAGAAATTCAATAAATCATAATTTCCGGAATTTCCGGAATTTCCGGAGGGGCGTAAGTTACAGAGGGTTTCCGTTAGTTACAGTATGGTTTGCGTTAGTTATCAGCCTCGTAACTTTCATACGGCAGAAATTCCATTAATTCAATAATTAATATTTTCCGGAATTTCCGGAGGAGCGTAAGTTACAGAGGGTTTCCGTTAGTTACAGTATGGTTTGCGTTAGTTATCCGCCTCGTAACTTTCATACGGCAGAAATTCCATTAATTCAATACTTAGCAATGAATTGAATTTCAGAAATTCCAGAAATTCAAAAATAAACAGGGGCATCTAGCGCGCTTGCCTCACCCCAAGCGGGCGTGGGCCATGGGCTCTAGGACAGTCTAGTGAGTCAGTCTAGTGACTAGTGTAACTGTGCATACCGTACAGGCATACAGTAGCACTGGCAAGGAGCTGCGCGGGACTCAAAGCCATGGCGCCGCGCAAGCGCCCGGCAGCTCTGCCGCGTCCAGTGGAAAAAAAGCCGCGCGGCAGCGGCATCGCCGAGTACTTCCGGTGCGACGACGTGCCAAGTTCGGCTGACAGCCAGATACCGACTGGCAGTTTTCCGGCTGCCAGCCACGAGCCTGCCAACACCGAGGCCGAAGCCCCGCCTCCCAAGCGGCTTTGCGCAGGTGCTGGCATCAGCGAGGAGGTCTGCCAGGTAGGGTTTAGGAAGTTTACGGTTTATTGGCTTAGGGCTCGGGCTAGGTTTAGGGGCTTCGGGGGTTTAGGGTTTAGAGTCTGCCATATAGCCTGCAGCCCTCAAACCTTAAGTCCCTAGACTATATAGACTAAAGCCTAAAGCCTAAAGCCAGCCCAAACCAGCCCTAAACGGCGCAGGACCCTAAAACCCTAAACCACGGCTCAAGATTGCTTGATCGCCAAAGTGCGGCGGCAACGGATTGTCACCGTAAGGACCGTAAGCAAAGTGTCCGGCTTCACTATGTACCGTGGTCGAGAGTCCAGTTATATAATGTGCCCCCTGGGAAGCCCCTGAGAGGCCCGGGGGAAAATCTAGGGAATTTGTACTGAATTTGAGCCGAATTTGAACTGAATTTGAAGCGAATTTGAAGCGAATTTGAGCCAATTTGCATAGATTTTGAACCCTAGGGGTCACACAGTTTTGTCCTACTGCCCTAGGGGGCAAAAAAAAATGGATATCGGCCTGCGGCAGGAACGGAATTCGTCTGAAGGCAAGAGGGTTGAAGACGAAGATTCATGTTTCAGTGTCAGGACTCTCAGGATTGCCAAAACTTACTTTGCGGCAGTAACGGAATTCGCCCGAAGGCAAAAGCATGGAGTTGAAGACTTGAAGATACATGATTCAGCGTCGCGAGTCTCAGGAATTTAGCCTGCGGCAGTAACGGAATTCGCCCGAAGGCAAACGCAGGGGTTGAAGACTTGAAGATACGTGCTTCAGCGTCGCGAGTCTCAGGATTGCTAAAATTTTAACTGCGGCAGCAACGGAATTCGCCCGAAGGCAAACGCAGGGAAGACTTGAAGATACATGATACATGGTTACATGATACATGATTCAGCGTCGCGAGTCTCAGGATTGCCAAATTTAGACTGCGGCAGCAACGGAATTCGCCCGAAGGCAACAGCAGGAGTTGAAGACTTGAAGATACATGATTCAGCTTCGCGAGTCTCAGGATTGCCCAAATTTAGACCGCGGCAGCAACGGAATTCGCCCGAAGGCAACAGCACGGGTTGAAGACTTGAGGATACATGGCAGGCTGCGGATATTTTTTTTGCTCCGCAGCCGCCGGAGCACTGTCTTGAGTCTGATGTTCTTGCTTGCTGATACCAACGGTCCTTTGCGAATCGAACGGAGACCCTTCAAAAGGGCGGCTGTGCGCCGCGGCCCCTGCGTGGGCCGCCGCGCGAGCTTCACCAGGCGCTGCAGGATGCCCAGGGAGCGAACGCCGGCAGCCCGCAGCACGCAAGTGGCGCCCCGGGCATCACGCGCCTCTAGGTCGGTGCGGTGATCAGCCGGGACCGCAAGCGTTCGGAGTCTCGGCCCGCACCACACAACATGTGAAGGGCTGTTGCTCCAGCTGGCTTGTGGGCATGTGTGCGCCGCGGCCCCTGCGTGGGCCGCCGCGCGAAGCTCCACCAGGTAAACTTCCTGGTTGCCGAAGGCACGGGTCACGTGGACGTCGGGGCGAACCTCCACCAAGCGCTGCAGGATGCCCAGCAGCACGAAAGTGGCGCCCTCAATGGGATATTGGAGTCTCTGGGTGGCTTGACTGTGACTCTGACTCTGACTCTGACGTGACTGTGGTTTGATTTCGATTCTCTTTACTTTGTTGAGTACTGAACTGATTTCAGATTTCGTAGCTCTCGTCACGCTTGCCACGTCGAGTCGAGTCATGTCACACTCACAGAGTCACATGCATGCATGCTGCGTGTCATCAGTCATCACAATCTGTCCGTGATGTCTTTGTCGTCGTCGCGTCACGTCATGCATGCGGTCATGCTGCGGCCTATGGCTAGTTGCGTGAGTCTTAAATTAATAAATTCAATTTTTCATGAAAATTTTAGTCTGAGTCTTAGTCTTAGTCTTAGTCTTAGTGTTTACAAAAATCGGCCAACGGTGCCGGCGTTATCCGCGGCGAAAAGAAAAAAGGGTTTCGGCGGTTTCGGGTTCGGTTTAGGCGGTTTAGGCAAGCAGCCCTACCTAAGCCGCGCAGCCTAAGTCTAAGTCTAAGTCGCAGTCTAAGTCTAAGTCTAAGTCTAAGTCTATCAGCCTGACAGTCTATTTATTTATTTTAAATGACTCTGAATATCAGGAGCCGGGATCGTCGGCTGTCAGCCAGGGTCCCACAGCGGCAGCGGATGAGGCTGCTAATGATGCCTACGATTCGTTCGATGACATGGTGCGAGACTCAGTGCAAGAAGCACAGAACAGGCGCTGGATGGACAGCGGGTTCTTTCACTCGGAGGAAGAAGAGTTGTCGCCGTTGTCGCCGTCGTATGAGCATGAAGAGAAGTTGAGAGACTGCCAGCGCCAGCCGGCTGCCAGCCCGAAAACGTCAGGGCAGCACGAGCCAGAGGACAACGGCACGACCGCCGAGCAGCCGCAACCGCTGGAGTCACAAGTGGACGGGAGAGTGAACGCAGCAACAGAGCTGGAGTCAATGGCGGAGCCACTCAGGAAGGAGGAGCAGCCGGAGCACAATGACAGCCAGGCGGAGCCACTCAGGAAGGAGGAGCAGCCGGAGCACAATGACAGCCACAGCAATTTGCAGCAGCAGC